ATACACTTACACCTATTTATACTTATATGTTTATATGTTATGTTGATACTTATACTTGTTTTCTCATACATGCTTGACGAACTAAACTAACTAACTAAAACAAATAAATAAATAAATAGTTAGTCTAGGAACCGACTCTAGAAATTATTGAGACAAAAGCTTAGATTAAGTTAAAGATAAATCCATCTCAGCATCTACCTCTGTCCTACTACCAGAACCATTGAGAGTTTCCTGACTTACGGCATTCTTGTATGGTATGGGAGCAGCTCTGTAGCAGACAAAAAAGCTCTACAGAGAACCATTAAAACTACCCAGAATATCATCGGCCTCCAGCTACCAGCCCTGGATGACATCTTCGCATCTTGCTGTTTGAGGAAGTCGCACAACATTCTCAGAGACTCTTCCCATCCTGCTTACAATCTGTGATGACCCAAAGGGGCATGGTACAAAAGCAACAGTCACAAAAATAGGTAAAGTCCCTTTAATACCTCCAACTTGGCCCCCAATGTCCAGTTATCATCTGCTGGAGAAAAAACTCTCCCAGAACAGTTTTTAAAGGGAAGAAATTCCATCCAAACCGAAAGTATATATAAATTATAAATAAAAACCAACACAAATCACACTGCAGCAATTAACGAGACAAGGCAGGATAAGGAATTGAAGACTTCAAAAGTAATAAAACACATACAGTTGGGAGAATGCCAGAACTCAGATAAGACTTAACAAACCAAAATAATTCATGCTTTGCTTCCAGCAAATTTTCTGTGTGTAGTTTGCCTTTTTTACCAGTTTTACCAGCTGCAGCCAATGAAGGGGATCAGGGCCCTTTCCTCCCCTGTAAACCACACAACTCACATTGCTCCCTTATCTGTTCCTCCCTGCATGCCCTAGGATGAAAAGAGGGTGGGCCTGGGTCTTCCTCTGAATGCCCAGCTGGACTGTGCCCTTCTCCAGTTTCCTCCACAGCCACCAGAGCCACACTCCCACTTCCTGTCAGTTCTCCCTCGGAATCCAATTCCAACAGGGGCATGACACAATCTTTGTGGAATGCTGCCTTCTGGCAGAAGATACAGAACAGTTAAACTCGGACCACACGTTTTCTGAATAGTTTTTATCCCAGAGCTATAATTGCACTTAACAATGAATTTAAGGACCATCATTAGTGAGGTGCTGGACAGGATCACTTGGTCTGTTGTGTGGATGCTTGTGTGTTTTTAGGGGGCGGGAAAGATTGTCATTTACAATGACAATAAATTAAGTAAACTAAGTTCTCACCGCTGTCAAGGCTGGTGGTCCACGTGCAGCTCAGTTTTAGTAATGTAACTATGATGGCTGGCTAGACGGGGGAGTCAAAAATACATCTCAAAAGAAGGCAGTGGTGATTTATTTTAATAAGGTAGGATGTCCTCAACTTCCAACAATTCATTGAGCGGCCATTCGAAGTTACAAAGGCACTGAAAAAAGGGACTTTTGACCATTTTTCACACTCACAACTGCTGCAGCTTCGCCGTGTTCATGTGATCAAAACTCAGTCACTTGGCAGTTGACTTACATTTATGAGGGTTGCAGTCACCCAGGGTAACGTGATCCCTTTTTGCAACTTTCTGACAATAGGAAGCCAGATTCACTTAACAACCATGCTGTGAATTTAACCGCTTGCAGTGACTGACTTAACAAGTGTGGCAAGAACAGTCGTGAAATGGGTCAACATTCACTTAACAACTGTCTCACAGAAACGTTGGGCTCAGTTGTGGTCATAAATCAAGCGCTACTGCTGGGAAACCTGCATGGATGCATTAATCAGGAGTCAGATTTGATTCAAGAATGTTTTAGTTCAGTTCAAAGAAAGGGTGGGAGAATCTGTTAGGACAACTGTAATTAATTTCCATTTTCACTTATTTTTTAAAATATTTCCAAGTCTGTTTTCCTCATTTCTATTTCTTGTGAAAATGTTAAGATTGAAGGGGAGATGAATTCTTAATATTTGCAAACGTTTCAAGGTAGCCGTGCTATTTTTGCCTGCTTTAGAGGTGGTCCTTGACTTATAACCGTTCGTTTAGCAATGGTTCAAAGTTACGACGGCATTGGAAAAAGTGACTTATGGCTGGTTCTAACACTTAGAACCATCACAGCATGATCACATGATCGAAATTGGGGCTTTTAGCAACCACCATGTATTTATGATGGTCACAGCACCTCAGAGTCATGTGGTTGCCATTTACTATCTTTCCAGGAAGCTTCGGACAAGCAAAGTCTATGGAGGAAGCTGGATTCTCTTAAGGACTGTGTGATTCACTTAATAACTGCAGGAATTCCCTTAACAATTGTGGCAAAATGGTCATCGTGCCGCTGTCGGAATCTGATTCGGAAGGGGAGGGTTAGCAGCTGACAGGAAGAAGGAGTGCGACTCCGTTGGCTGTGGAAGAAACTGGAGAAGGGCACAGTCTGTCTGGGCAGAGCTGGGGAGAGGTTGAGCAAGGGAGAAGAAATTCGGAGGAAGACCAGGCCCACCCCCTCTTCAACCTAGGGCAAGCAGGGAGGAACGGAGAAGGGAGCAAGGTGAATTGCATGGCTTATGGGGGAGGAAAGAGCCCTGATTCCCTTCATTAGCTGCAGCTGGGAACACAGTGTTTAAAAAGGGAAGCTGCGCACAGCAACTTGTTTGGAGAAAATTGTGAATTATCTGGTATCATCGAGGCTTGTCTGTGTTTCTGGCATCTTACTAACTGTGTGTGTTTTGCTGTGCTTTAAAGTCTGCAATTTCCTCTCCTGCCCTGTCAGGTTAATTACTGGAGCATGGTTTGTTTGGATTTTTAGTTACAGTTTGTATGTACATTTTTTTCGGACTGAATTTCCTCCACTGAAAGGCTGTTCCTGGGAGAGTTTTTCTCCAGCCGAAGGTAACCTGGACATTGGAGGCAAAGTTGGAGATAATAAAGGGACTCTTCTTGCTTATTTGACTGTGTTGCCTTTGTGCCATGACCCGGGTCATCACAATGGTCATAAAAGTGGACATAACTGACTTTTAACAACTGCAACAACAAATTTCAGTTCCAACTGTGATCATAAATCAAGGACTACAGTGTACCACAGCTATGTACTAAACAGTTTAATTTAATACATACATCTGTATACACACACATTTGTATACAAATTTTTGCCTAATGTCTTGCTCTTTTTCTTTCGTTTGGTTAACTTGAGAGGTACCTCGTAGTAGGAAAGACCATATTTCCAGAGATTTGTTGAATGTACTAATGTACAAATAAGAGACTGGATGGAAATATTTATCAAGGACACTGAACATATCAAGGAATATATATGAAAGGACATCTATAAAAGGTATCAAGCTAACCTTCATCATTCGAGCTTAGGAGTGTCCAACCTTAGCAACCTTAAGACCTGCGGACTTCTACTCCTAGAATTTCTCCCAGCTAGCCAACCAACTAACCATTATGGGTGGCTGGGGAATTCTGGGACTTGAAGTTCATAACTCTTAAGGTTGCCAAGGTTGGATACTCTTCTACATAAAATGTAGCTGGTCATAGATAGCACACGATCTTTTCTGAAAACTCTGCAAACATTGTGCGGATACTTTCCAACAGTTAGAACCAATGGAAGCGAACTATCTTTCTATGTAAGAGGAGGTAGAATGCAGGAAAAAAAATGGTTTTGATGTTTTACATGCAAGGTAGAATAAAAAGTGAAAACAGATATGCTTTTAGCTCTGTTATTCTTACTCCGTTTTGACTGGTTTCACTTTTTGTCTTACATAGAAACCAGACGCTGAAACTCCATTGTTGCTTCTCTCTTGACCTTGTTCTTTTAACCTATTTCTGCAAAGCTAATACTTTCCACTGCCAACTCCATCTTTATTTCCATCTCAGCCTCCTGCCTCCAAGGTCCAGAAAAAGACCGGATCAGGTAACTCGCTTAAGAATTGCATGAGAACTATCTAAAACTTTAGTTAACGGAATAACAGAGTTGGAAGAGAGACGTTGCAGGTCCCAGCAGGAAACTCTATATCATTTCAGACAAAATAGTAGTCCAATCTCTTTAAAAAAAACAAAAAACCTTCCAGTGTTGGAGAGCATTCACAATTTTGGGAGGCAAACCCTTCCACTGTTAGGACATTTCTCCTTAGCTCTAGACTTTCTCTCTCTTTGGTTAGTTTCCATTTATTACTTCTCGTCCTTCCTTCAGGTGCTTTGGCAAATAAGTTGACACCCCCCCTTCTTTATGGCAACACCCCAAATATTGGAACACTGCTATCTTGTCTTCCTTCGTCCTTCTTTTCATTGTATTAGACATATCCAATTCCAGCATCCGTTCTTTGTATGTTTTAGCCTCCGGTTCCCTAATCACTGTGAGCATAAGGATTGATCCATTGGTGCTATTCAAATGTTTTTACTACTGGTTCTGTAGGCGTGGCTTGGTGGGTGTGGTGTGGCTTGGTGGGTGTGGCAGGGGAAGGATACTGTAAAATCCCCATTTCCACCCCACTCCAGGGGGAAGGATACTGCAAAATCCCCATTCCTTCTCCACCCCACTAACCTGCTTTCCAGCTCCGTTCTCCTGGGCAGGGCAACAAAATAAGACCCAGCCAATCAGCTGGGACTCAATGGGAGGTGGAGAATAGATGGGGGTGGGGCCAGTCAGAGGTGGTATTTGCCGGTTCTCTAAAGTACTCAAAATTTTATTTATTTATTTATTTATTTATTTATTTATTATTTTTATTGTCAATTGCTTACAAGATAATAGGTATAAGTAAAAACATAGTTATGGATGCATATAAGAAAAATAAAAAAAATATATTAAAAAAAACACAATAGGACAGGGACGGTAGGCACGTTGGTGCACTTATGCACGCCCCCTATTTCCGCTATCGGTTCTCCAGAATTTGTCAGAACTGTCTGAATACCATCTCTGGATTGATCCAAAGACTACTTTTATTCTTACCTAAATCATTTTACAAATAAGATAGGCCAAGAGATTATCCTTACCTGCTCAAGGAATTGCTGTCTGGCACATGGTACATGAAAATATTTCCTCTCTTGCTATTAGCCCATTCCTTTGCCATATCTATAGTTGGGCAAATGATGAAGTAGTCTCTAAAAACAGTAAAGAAAAGATTTCCTTACAATCTGGAAACAATTAACAACCACAAATAGATCTTAAATCTCTGCCTTTCTGCTGTAACTCCATATCCACATGCTCCAGATTAACCCAAAACAAGAAGTTTTAAATTCTCCAAAATTTTCCATTAGGTAGGGAGGTAGAACAACCAAGAGAAGGGGAAAGGAACATAAACGTCCATACATTTGAGTCAAACGTTATAGGTTTCCAAAATGGAAATTACAGTTTGGATGAATGACTTCATTTTGTCAGCTGCCCAGAACCACAAACCCAGGTGGTTCTGCTTCATCAATAAACCATCTTTCCAATCAGCCTCCATGTTCCCAGTGTCTTTCTCCCTGCTTGGAACGGAACCAGAAGGATATTTCTTCTCACATCAGTTTATGCCTACAGTTGGGATCATTATGTCCATCAATAAGCAAGGTTCTCAAGAAGTGAGTTGTGGCCTAGTTTTATGACTTTTTATGCTGTGGTTGTTAAGTGAGTCACTCTGGTCATTAAGTGAATCGCATTGTTATAAAAGCAAGTCCAACTTTCCCCACTTTTTTGTCAAAGGTTGCCTGGGAAGGTCACAAACAAAAATCATGTGACTTCAGGCCAAGCATCCAAATTTTGATCACGTGACTGCTTTTTTCGGCACCAGCATAACTTCAAATGTTCTCTAGACAAATGGCCATATACAGCGTACTTCTCTAAGCACATGGAACCCAACACGCAGTGCATGTGACCTGCGAAGAACCGGGTTGGCATAAGATGCTTCTAGAAGTTGTCGAGGATTACCTATATAGGAAACTCATACTGTATTTGGTAACTGTGACAAGATTATTGTACACACAAAAGTGGAAGAATAAAGAATTAGAAGAATGGATTGTAACATTCAAGGAGCTTGAGATAGCAAAATTGACCGGCTTGGTTAGATAACAAAAATGATAAAATATTTTTTTTAGAGAAAACTGGGAGCTTTGTATGGACTTTTAGTTGAAAGAAGAAAAGACTGAACAAATTATTTATGGATTTGGGGACTAAAAAGGAGAAAGTAAGAGCACAGTTACAGTACTTGACAAAAAATGGCAGAAGTCATAATTCTCACTTTTCCCCCCTGTTTTCCAATTTTCTCTTCTTTTTTTCTTTTTTTAAAAATCATTTTCTTATACTGAAAATATTCTTTTTAAAAAGCCTGGCGCAGCCGTATGAGTTATGCATGTTCCATTAGGAATACAATATACAATAATACATTAAAATAATTGTATAAAGTTTTCTCTTTTCCATGTTTTAGCCCGCTTTTACGCCTGCAGTTGGTTGCTTATAATTCCAGTTTCAGGCATCTTTCCGCCTTTAGCAAACTTAAGGCTGTGTTTATACATAAGTTTGTTTCTAATGCTGATCTGTTGGAGGTGGGACAGGAGTTGTTTGTAAAAATAATGAAGGCGGGAGACAAATAAATAAAATAAATAAATTAAATTATTGGAATGGCTGAAGGGAACTCTAAAATAACACCTGCAGTTGTATCTTACGCCTTCTCCGCTTAAAAGGGGGAAAAAATTCATCGAAAGGCATGAACAAGAATCGATATCCCGAGGAGCAGATGGAAGTTGATTTCTTATTTTTAGTCCAATGTGGTAAAGCTGCCAAATTTAAAATGTGAAGAAATGACATATGGGGAGCCAAAACAAAAAATTTCAACTGCAAAAGACCGTATTTGAGGGTTACGTCTCTCCTGCTCAAAATACCTTTCTTGGATTCATTGGAAGGTCTGCAGCCCGTAATTTAAAACTGAACTCAACTTGATATATTTATCCAAGTGTTTGGATTTGGGTTGCTTCTCTTTTCTGTCCACGTACACCTCTGCAGGGTGCATCGAAATTAGCATCTCGTACATGATGCGCTATGAAGCTTATGTTCATCCTGACATCCATGTGCGCCAAGCCACAATTTTGATAAACACGTGTGCAACTAGAACTTACCGTCTCCTGGTTTCTAAGCCAGCACCTTAACCATTACACTAAAGATTTGGGGACTATATCCTAGAAGTCACAACTGCTAGCCAGAATAGTGAGGCACAATAACCCTTTACTAAACCCTTGTTTATATATAGTGCTTCTACAGAGTAATGTCTTGTTCTAAGAAATCATCCCTTGCTTGTCCTTTTTCCCCATGCCTTCTTTCCATGATTTCTCTCCAACCTTAACAAAAAAAAAGGAGAAACTTACCGAGTGGCATTTTCCAATGCTCTGGAAAAGGAAGCATACTCTGTGGATGAGTGTTTGAGGGAATAAAACCACGTAGTTGCATCCTGGATGAGAAGATTAGACTCTTCACCGCCCAAAGAGTTTTGGAGGGCTTGATAAAAAGCGGTTTTGCTATTGGCCCGGCCTTGTCTTTCTTCAAAACGCTAATTAGAGAGGAAAAGAACATGCAGAAGAATTCAGAAAGCCACTTCACACTCAGAAATGGTTGTTGGCATTTCCACAAAGAAATGTACGCATTCAAGCAATTACATGTTGATCATTGCTGTACAGTTGCACTTCCAATTCTGTTTTACATACTATCTTTTTATCCATTTCAAATCTTTCTGATAACTATAAATACCTGCGAGTATATTTTGCGCGTGTAAGAGCACTACTGTACTATAGGTGCTCAGAATTCAAGAAGATGTCTCAAAGCTGAAAAGATCCTGATCTAGCAGAGAAACTCAGGTAAGACGTTCTAGGAATCACACTTGGCGCATGAATTATTCAGAAATCCAGCCAGCAACAAAGAAACCTTCAGCTTTCCAGTTTTACTCTTAGTGGAAGCCAAAACTATTCTAAGGGGATTTTCCCTATCCATTTAAGTGTGTGTGTGTGTGTGTGTGTGTGTGTGTGTGTTGGGATTCAAAAATTTTTACCACCAGTTCTATGGGCATGGCTTGGTGGGCATGGTATGGCTTGGTGGGTGTGGCAGGGGAAGGATACTGCAAAATCTCCATTCTTTCTGCACCCCACTAACCTGCTTTCCAGCTCCGTTCTCCTGTGCAATGCAACAAGAGAAGACTCAGCCAGTCAGCTGGGACTTGGGAGGCAGAGAATAGATGGGGGTGGGGCCAGTCAGAGGTGGGATTCCGAACTACTCAAAATTTCTACTACCGGTTCTCCAGAACTGGTCAGAACCTGCTGAATACCATCTCTGGTGTGTGTGTGTGTGTGTGTGTGTGTGTGTGTGTGTGCGCGCGCACGCGCGCATTGCATATGTACGTACACATGCACATCCCACACAACCCCCCTTCTCTTTTCAAAGGTTATATTTCTTCTAGCCCCAGATTATATTTCCCACCCTTGCATTGGCTACAGAATAATTTCCTGAAAAACTGGGAATCTAAGAATTCCACATGGACCCTGCTGCTGATGGTTATTGGCTTAAAAACTCAGTTTGAATAATCCTTTTTCCAAATCGTTTCAGACTTGACTACTAATAATACATTTTAAAAAAAATAGTGTTGGCCTAACTCAGGTTTTTTTTTAAAGTTCTGGTTTTTACACTAAAAATGATTATGGACACGTAGGCCCAGGTTCCACAACTGCCAGATCTCTTGAGGTCGATTTGAACTCTATAGGTTGATGATGGACTATTAATACAGCTACTCCTTGGCTTAAAGGTAAAAGTAAAGGTTCCCCTCGCACATACGTGCTAGTCGTTTCTGACTCTCGGGTAAGGTGCTCATCTCCGTTACAAAGCCAAAGAGCCAGTGCTGTCCGAAGATGTCTCCGTGGTCATGTGGCCGGCACGGTGCACAGAATGCTGTTACCTTCCCACCGAAGTGATCTCTATTTTTCTACTTGCATTTTTACATGCTTTCAAACTGCTAGGTTGGCAGAAGCTGGGACAAGTAACAGGAGCTCACTCCATTACGCGGCTCTAGGGATTCGAACCGTTGAACTGCCAACCTTTCTGATCGACAAGCTCAGCATCTTAGCCACTGAGCCACCGCATCCCTCAGTCTTGATTTACAACAGTTCATTTAGTGATCTTTTAGAATCACTGAAAAAAAGTGACTTATGAACATTTTTCACAGTTATGACCGTTGTAGTATCTTCATGGTCACATAATTAAAATTCAAATGCTTGGCAACTGGTTCGTATGTATCACGGTTGAAGTATCCCGGGGTCATACAATCACCTTTTGGGAACTTCTGACGAGCAAAGTCAATGGGGAAGCCAGATTCACTTAACAACCATGTTATTAACTTAACAACTGCAGTGATTCACTTAGCAACTGTGGCAAGAAAGGTCATAAAATGAGACAAAATTAACAATTGTCTTGCTTAGCAACAGAAATGTTGGGCTAAATTGTGTTCATAAGTCAAGGACTACTTATTGGTTGGTTGGTTGGTTTATTACATTTATATGTTGTCCATCCTGAGCAGCTAATAATATTATAAATATATGCATATAATAGAATGATGTTATCTTTTTTTAGCTTCTTTCCTCTAGACTGGCCCATACCCAGTTCCTGCAACCGTTCTTCATGTGTTTTTGTCTCCAGGCCTTTAATCATCTTACTTGCTCTTTGCATTTTTCCCAAAGTCTCAACCTCTTTTTTGTAATGTGATGACCAGAAGTGGATGCAGTATTCCAGGTGTGGCCTTACTGGAAAAGTGCATCCAGTTTTAGTCGACTTACACCAGAATTTTATTTATTGGTTTCTTTGTTTGTTCCATTTCCATGGCTGCCCATCTCAGGCAGTGACTCTGAGTGACTTACAAATTCAGAATTTTGCTCGTCAAACAAGGCAGCTATTACGTGAGTCGAACTGCTAATGCTGGTTCCTGCCACTGGTATTGTCAGCAAAATATGTACTGTTTCATCACATATGCGAGTATATATAAGGGAGGCCCCAGATTTTCTGTTGTGAGTCAGATTATCTCTATAACTGCAGCTGTGGTTACACATCAGTTTCAGGCCTGGCATTTTGGATTACCTTAATTGCCTTTGCACGACTGATCAGCCCATCTTGTTGAGCACTTCCAACGAGTAGGTCCAACTTTGAAAGTCGGGAACGTTGCAAAGCAGCTGGAAAAGGTTCCTGCACGTAGGAACCATCAACAACTGGACCCCAATATTGGAATGGGCCACTTATGGTGAGGAGCTGCACGAAGAATCATGAAAAGATTAGCCATAGGAGTGGAAAAAACATGGAGTAAACCCTATGAATGCCGGAATGGAGTAAAAAGTGGGACAGAAAGCATCAATGGCCACTGGTAATCGAGAAGAAAGAAAACACCATTATAATCTTACTAGTAACTTTTACTAGAGGCAGACAAACTAGGGAATTGCTTGTGCAAATCACAAATGTGTATTAATAGTTTATGCTTAGTAGCACCTGCCACAGTTCAAAAACAGCTGAACCTACAAGTTCCTTTGTTCTTCAGTACCCGTGTATAGGCCTAAATAAATCATCAGTGCCCCCCAGAAAGTAATTTTTGATAAAAAGAATGGCTTCCCTTCATTCTCAGTTGCTGTTCAGGGGTGTTAGGAAGGAAGGAAGGAAGGAAAAGGGGAGGGGGAAAAAGAAAGAAAGAAAGAAAGAAAGAAAGAAAGAAAGAAAGAAAGAAAGAAAGAAAGAAAGGAGGGAGGGAGAAGAAAGAAAGATGGAAGGAAGGAAAGAAAAAGAAAGGAAGAGAGAGAAAAGAAAGGAAGGAAGGAAGAAGGGAAGATAGAAAGAAAGATAGAAAGAAAAAGGAGGAAGGGGAGAGAGAGAGAAAAGAAAGAAAGATGGAAGGAAGGAAAGAAAAAGAAAGGAAGGTAGAGAAAAAGAAAAAAGGAAGGAAGGAAAGGAGGAAGGAGGGAGGGAGGGAGGGAGGGAAGGAGGAAGGAAGGAAGGAAGGAAGGAAGGAAGGAAGGAAGGAA